ATTTGCGCACCTCGAAATTGGCGAGCAGCCAGTCGCACTCCAGGTGAAGGTCCTTGATCTGCATCTCCTTCATGTACAGCTCCTTGGACGTGTCCTTATGGTCCTGCTGCAGCTTCACCAGAGCGGCTTCCAGGTCCGCCTTCTCGCCCTCCTTCTGCTCCGTGGACTTGGAGTCGGCGGCGCGCTTGTCGCCCGCCTCAGCCATGAAGGCCTCGTACTCGACCTGGTCGTCCTTCTCCTGGGTGGTCATGGAGGCCATCTCCTTGTCGAGGTCAGCGATGAGAAGGTCCATCATCGCCACCACGCCGCCGTGTTCCTCGCTCTTGGTCGCGTACGCGCTCCAGGTCGACGGCGGCGGGCCGGGGTCGGTGCGCTGCTCGAGGCTCATCTCCTCGGAGATGCGGCCCATGGTGCTGCGCTCCACCTTCGCCGGTGGCACGTACATCTTGGGCGCATCCGCCACCGTGCCCCAGGGCACAAGGTGGAGAGTCCTCAGGTCCCCTCGAGTACTCCGCGTGAGTTTTACGAGACAGGGGAGCATGGTTCGGAAATCGACCTCACAACATGCCCAAACATGGTTCGATGAGGAGGAGGAGGAGGAGGAGGAGGAGGAGGAGGAGGAGGAGGAGGAGGGAGAGGGGGAGGAGGAGGAGGAGGAGGAGGAGGAGGAGGAGGAGGAGGAGGAGGAGGAGGAGGAAGAGGAAGAGGAGGAAGAGGAGGAGGAGGAGGAGGAGCAGGAGGAGGAGAAGGGGGAGGGGGAGGGGGAGGGGGAGGAAGCCGCTCTGAGGCTCTTCAGGGGACCTCTTGGGACGTGTTGGAGGCTCCAAAGGCCGGCCCAGGAGGCCCAAGAGGCATACTCACCGTTGCGGACTTCGGAGACGTCAAGACAACCCACGAGGCCCTCAAGATCACCCGAGAGCCCCCGACAGGGGGCCGAGCGGGGAAGTCAAGAGGCCCCGAGGAGGCCTGCAGGAGGCCTCGAGGAGGCTTCTGGCCCACGAACCAAGCAAGCATGACGGCGGGGTTGCACAAAGGCCACTGGATAGAACTGCGCGAGGCGGTTCTTCGCCATCTTCAGGATGTCCTTCGCGGCGGTGTCCTCCTGCATCGTCTTTTTGTAAAAGGCGTTCTCCTCCTCGCGAGTCGTCGTGGCCTCTTTGACCTGGCTGTCGAGATCAGAAATACCCTTCAGCAGCGCGGAGATCTCCTCGGCCAACGTCGAGATGCTCTCCTCCGTGGTGGCGATGCTCTTCTCCAGGTCGCCGATCGTGTTCTCCAAGACCTTCTTGTCGTCCTCTGACTCATCGAGCGACTTCTCGCAGTAGGCCTACGAGCGAAGAGGTGAAGGAGGCTGAATGGGGAGGCGGCGGAGCGGAAGAGGGAGAGGGCAGAACGCGCGAGGGGCGAAACTGGGAGCGGTCTCCGCAGATCTGGACACGCTGCTGGAGTCATGAGGACATCGGCTGGACCCCGCGGAGCTCTTTGCAACCCTCGGTTTTGCACCCTCTCCATTTCGCCTGCTCTCCCCCGTTTCTTCTCTACTGCCCGATCCCTCTCGCGGCCCTTGTTCCCCTGCTCTTTTCCTCCCCCTCCCACTCCTCCTCGGCCTCTCCCACCTCTACTTCCCCCACCCACCCCAAGCTCGTGCGCGCCCTCTTTTCCTCCCGGTTCCTCCCCCTCGCTCTCCCTCAACCCCACATGTTTTCGGCACAGGCAGGGCCTTCTTGTCGTCATCATCCGTTTGCTCAGCGCCAAGCAGCGCCACCATATCGTCGATCATTTTGATGACCTTGTCGAAGCTCTTGGCCCCTCCGCGGAGCGCGAGGGAGATGAGCGCCACGCGGGGGTCCTGGCTCTTGACCTTCACCAGGGCCTGCAAGGCCGCCGTCTGCACCTGCTTGTTCCTCACCTGCAGCTGCATCAGCGTCGGCGTGGGCAGGGTCTTTTTCCGCCATCGTGCCTTCGGCACGCTGGGCCGTCTCAGACTGCATGCTCGTTGTCTGGCATGGCCGCTGCAGCTCTGAGGATGACCCCCAGCATACGACAGGTTCGTGTCGTGCCTACTTCGGCGTTGGTTTCTGACACCGTGGGGATCGTTCAACCTTGAACGATCGGCCGTTTCCGAAACGTCCAAATCGTTCCACATCGAACGATTCTGGGTCGCCCGCGGCGTTCAACGCTGAACGCCGCCGGCGGGGTCGCCGCCGGTCGGCACGACACGAACCTACCGTTATCCCTCCTCCGGGGCGTGAGATCTCAGGGGCCATCGCTCCCCCCGAAGACGGCCCAAGACCGCCCCAAGAGAGCTCCGAGAACGCCTCGAGACCCGACCTGCCGGCCCCCATGTCAAATTACAGAGGCCGAGCCAACCTCCAGAGACCCCAAGATGCCCCCAAAGAGAAGATCCAGAGGCGCCCCAGGAGCCCTCAAGATGGGCGCAAGGAACCCTCCAGGAAGGCACGGGGAAGTAAAAATACGAAAAAGCCAAACTATGTCAAATATTGTTTGCATATGACGCCTTTCGGCTTACGGTGGGCTCCAGAAGGCCTCCGATTCGGGGGAGCTTTTTTTAATCATCGCGCACCAGACGGCCCTGCGACATCCACAAGGCCCCCAACAAAGCCCCCCAGAGTCCTCAACAGGGCCTCGAGAGGCCCCAAAGAGCCCCCAAGGAAGCTCCCAGGAAGCCTCCAAGACGCCTCCGACAGTGAGGAGAGAGAATGCTTACGGCACGTGGCTTCCAGCCACATTCAAAGATGCAGGGCTGACGGGCATCGGGGCTGGACAGACGCCCCTTTAGTAAAACGTGGTTTAGTGGAAACGACCTGAGGCCCAAACCTGGCGGGCGCAAGCCTGGAAAATAACGGCCACGGCGCCCTCTCGAGAACCGAAAACGGACAATTCACTAATCGACGTGTCACTGTTGGGGGTTCTGTCCACCCCTGAGGGCAGGGGAGACAAGCAGTGCAACCAGCAGTTCGTGGTCTTGGAGGGCGGGGAGCCCTTGTGCAAAGGCGCTGCCAGACCTCAGCATCGTGCTCAGTGATATAGCGTGCGGGCCCAGAGTGGCGGCAGGGCGTGGCTCCCCCGCGGGGCATCTGGGCGCGCTGGAGTTGTGGATGGCATGACAGTGGACACTCTCACAGTCCTATCATTGAATTAAAGTAAAATGTGGGGGGGGGGGGAATTGTCGAACATGTTTGAAACATCTTTGAGACATCTGGACATTATTTGGCAACATGCTTCCTCTCCATGGATCGTCCTCCACGGAGCTGGAGCCCACGATCTGCACTCACCGCGAAAAGGGCCCTTCTGCCATAGGATGTGGGAAGGGTGGACAGCTTCGCCCGCAAACCCAAGGAGCGACGCGCTCTGCGAGCGGCTCGAGGCCCACGAGCCTCCAGAGGGAGCCCTCCCTGGGTGGCAGCTGGCGCCTGGGCCTGACCAACTCGTTGTCCAGCCGACCCGCACCACTAGGAGGCACGATAAGGTTAGGTCGGGCATGTCCCCCATACAGGGGGGATTTTGGACGACTAATAAGAAATATTCAAAGAAAAATCAAAAGATGCCCAAACATACTCAAAACATGGTCCCCACTATTTCTTAATATTCTTGAATTTTCCCCCTGTTGAGGGACAGGCCCGACTCGACATCAGGAGGCACGATAAGGACGCAGGGGCCTTCGAAGGCCGCTTCGAAGCTTCTCGAGCGGGGCGCGGCCAAACAAAGTGCCGAGGACGGACCGAGGAGGCAAGGATGCAAGGGGTACCCCTGGGAAACTTGTCCCTCCTTCCTATGCGTGTCGACTGTCATCAAGACCTCCTCCGCTTCCATCGCGGAAGCCCTCGCTCCACCACCTCCACGTGGAGGGCAGACAGAGCCGAGCCCGGCACGGAGCGGAGGGGCAGCATCTGAAGTTTAAGTTGAGGCCCTGTACACACCGCACAGCCACGTCCCCGAGTCGAAGTCCCAAAGGTATGACGAAACACGGGCATCGGCATCGATCCATCTGCGCCTGGGCAAAACCAAGTCCAGTGGCTGCTTGGCCAGACGACGATGTTTTGGGGGGAGGAGAAAGAAAAAGAAGGAGGGAGGAAGAGGAGGAAGAGGGAAGAGAAGAACGAGGCTACTGATAAGGAGGGGGCGTAAGATCCGCGCCAGCGGGTATTGAAATCCTGCTCCTCATCCTCCTTCTCCTCCTCCTCCTCCTCCTTGCTGCACTGCTGCGCTGGAACGGTGGCGGGGTTTGCCGCAGGCAGCTGGCTGAAAAGTTCCAAAGCGTCGTCATCGTTGAGAATCTTGATAGTCTCAGCCAGGGCCAGGAGCTCGTCTGTGCGGGTCTTCGAGCGCTCCTCCCACTCAGCCGTCTTCGTGTCGCAGCCCTTCTGGAGCTCAACCAAAAATTTCTTGTCCTCCAGCAGAGTCTTCGCCGTGTCGTCCAAATCCTCCTTCATGTTAACGATCTCCACAGCGAGCTCGCCGGAAGCTTGGAGCTTCGACTCGATCTCCGAGGTGAGAGCCTCGATCTCGGCCGTCTTGGCGGCACTCAAGGCCTCAAAATCCTTGATGGCCTTCTCTTCCGTGGCGGTGAGATCCGAGAGGTCCTTACCCATGGTGTCCTTCATCTGCTTCAGGATCCCAACAATCTGCCCGCTCTTGGGGACGTAGCCCTGCCCCTGCGCAAGGAAGGCGGTGAGCATATCGCGGTCGGCCGCAGACATGTCCACGTCCACGGCGAGGCGACGCAGCACGGTGCCCGCCTGCGTCTGCAGAAAGCTTCCACTCATGCCCGATTCGATGGCCTTGATGGCTGCGGCAAGGGCAGAGAGGTCGGTCTGGAAGTCAGACGACGCCTTGGCGTACGCAGAGGCCTCCTTGGCCCGGAGCGCGGTGGCGGTCGCCAGGGCCGTCTTGCCCTCAGCGCGGTCGGCCTTGGCTTTCTTGATGTCCGAGTCAAGCTGAGCCTTTTTCGACTCCCCCTCCTGCAGCATGGAGGTCACCTTGGTGATCTTCTCGTCCGCCGTCGAGATGGCAGTCTCCAGCTGGCCCTTGCCGGTGGTGCAATAGCACATCCGCAACCACGCTGTGCTGCGCAGCGGTTGGTTTTTAGGTGTGTGTGTGTGTGTGTATATCCAGTACCCCTGGTTTTGCTCGTTAGTTCTGCCTCCCCCTAGGGGAAGCAACGACTGACGAAGGCCCAACATGAGTCTGCTGCTTCCGAACCAACGGTGCCAATGGCAGAGCCCCTGGCGGAGTGGACACCAACCATCGTAAAGGCTTATGACTTCTGCTGTCCTTCGGCCCGTGCTGGAGCGTCCATGAGTTGCTCCCGATGACCCTCGAGATCTTGGGATTTACCTCGAGGTATCTGGACTCACATCGATCGACCTGCGGATATCCCAAGAAAATCAGTCCCCCACCAGGTCCTCTTCTTCTGCTCACCCAGCACGCGTCGGCGGACACACGCGACAGCGTATCTGCTGAATTTTTTGTAAAGATCCTCCTCGGTCTTCCCCTCCTCCGTCACCTGCTTCTGCATATTCTGCAAGAGGGTGACCACCCTGCGGATCGGATTGGCGCGCTGGCCTGCCTCCAGGTCCGCGCGGGACGCCCGGGACGCGCTGTTCGTGGACACGGCGCCGGCAGCTGCCAGGAGGGCGCACACAAGTGTCGCGCGGAGCATTCCTGCTTGCATTAGTCGCCGAAGTCTGCGTTGTCAGGCTGAGGAAGGCAGCGTCTTGAGCCAACCTCGTCCCCCCATGTCGTCATTCGAGTTGAGAGTAGGAGGAAGAGGAAGGAGCAAAGGATAACGGGAGAGAGGAGAGAAGGGAGGGAGGAGCAGGAGGAGCGGGCGGAGAGAAGGAGGCAGAGGCAGAGGAGGACGACGCGGGAGGAAGAACTAGAGGAGGGAAGGAGGAGGGGGAGGAGGAGGAGGAGGAGGAGGAGGAGGAACAAGAGGAGGAGGAGGAGGAAGAAGAGGAGGAGGAGCAGGAGGAGGAGAAGGAGGAGGAGGAAGAGGAGGGAGGATGGAACGAGGAGGAGGACGAGGCGGAGGACGAGGAGGAGGAGTAGGAGGGGAGGAGGGGAGGAGGCGGGGCGAGGCGCGCCGCGTCTGGCCCTGGGGGGGGGGGGCCAGGGCAGCCCGCGGGGACAGAGCGCGTGGGGGCCGCACCCCTGCCCTGACACGACGCCGCCCGGTGTCGAGTCAAGCTGCAGCCGCCGTGCTGCAGTCAGGAGCGCCGAATTAGGGACGGAAGGGGCTTTGAAGGGGCCCTGGGGCACACACAAACGAAGAGACACAAATAAGCGGCTTCCCCCTATTTTCCCATACTTTCTGGGTTTTCGTCTTCCCCCCCCCCCACTTCCCATACTTTCCCATATTTCCCGGGGGATCGACGATGAACTGTGTCAGTGTGTGTTTTCTCCTCCTGAGGCTTTTCGGGCCACAGCGAGCCTCGGCCACGAATCGGTTCCACGGCCCAACTCCGCCACTCGTGCATTCATTTTTGTCACTCTGAACAAACGGTCGTCACCACAGCGGCGACGTAATGTTACCCCTCAGCAACTGCAGATCATTCGCATGGTGGCCGCCGCCCTGCAACAATGATCGAAGATGCGCTGGTGCCGATTGTTCCTGGTTGGGGCGCCCACACACGCATGGCTACATTCGCTCAACAGCTCATGCATCCATATGCTGCTTGATAGCGCAAGCTTGGATTCCAGATATGGTTCGCAAAGTGTGCGTCGCACGGCGTGTACGCCTCGCACCGGGTGCCCACCTTGGACACACGTGATGCTTGCCGCTCGTGTGTCCCCGCTCCACTCCAAAAAGCTCAGTGGAACCGCTCGACAAGGCGTTCGTCTAGACTCGCGTCCTCCGCCTCCCCAGGATCATGCGTAGCAGACAAGGGGAGTGGGCCGCGAGGACGTCTTCTCACCTCCTCACCGTTGCCCCCCTACTTCCCTTCCCCAGGAGGCGGGAGGAGGAGGGCGATGACAAACGCGAGGGACAAGCTGCGCGGAGAGGCCGAAGCAGACGAGAGGAGGAAAGGGAGGAGTACTTAGGGGAAAAACACCTCGACACCTCTAACGCCGCAATCACGCACTGTCAAGCTCGATGGACGAGAGCGCATTGGGCACTGGATCAACCCCGACCTCGAACTGTTGTCGAATCCTATGCATCCTCCGTCTTCTCCTCCGTCTCCCCCTCCCCTTACCCCTCCCCCTCCCCTCCTCCTATTCCGTTTCCTCCTCCTCCTCATCCTTCTCCTCCTCCTCCTCCTCATCCTCCTCTTCCTCCTCCTCCTCCTTCTCCTCCTTTTCCTTCTCCTCGCCATCTTCTCCTCTTTCCTCGTCTTCCTCCGCCCCCTTACCCGTGCACACGTGCCAGAAAGATGTTTCGCAACACGGCGCGGGACAGCGAGGTCAACACCGACGTAGGCGAATGTCATGTGAACCAGATGGCGACGGCAAGCGTAACATCCTCCAGCCACACGCTGGGTTCATTACACCGCCGCGCAGTCGCGCATACGACAACTCAACATAGCAATGTACACTTGGCAAAATGCCAAAGTATACGACAGGCGCCGATTCGAATGACGAGCGGGTTCGACGGCTTACCGAACCCACTGTGGCGCCACGGCCTGTTGCCCACGGACTTTAACACCAACCCCACCAGCGACAGCACGCGCGTAACTGACCAGGTGCGCGACGCACCTGACAGAATCATCACGAACGCGTACCCTGGCAAGCAGCAGGTGGCCACTTTATAAGTCCATTGGACGATGGCCAGTTCGGCTCGCGGATTTCCTCAGGCCCCAATTGGTTCTCGAGCTGCGAACTGCGAACCGCGACCTGCGAGAAATGTACCGCGAGGGTGCCGCAGCGAGGGGCCGAAGCACCCAGATTGGGGTGAAGAATGCAAACAACGCGCGGCAACGAGGCTACAAGGAAAACTCGGCAAATTCCTCCTCAAGGCTCCTCCACGCAATCGATTGCGCAATGCGTACAAAAATGCGCAGTGCATCACATGGCGCCCTGGCCTTTATCAAAATGTCCCTGCCAGCGTCGTCCCATTTGTCAATGTGCAATTTGGGAAAGGAACAAATCATCCAACCATCGCGGTTTAGGTCGGTACTGTCGCAGCCAAGCGCCAAGATCGGGATGATAATCCGGTTCCCACCATAAGACTCTGCATGCCCATTCGGATTGAGATGCAATCGATAATGTGCGAAGCCAGTGCCACTTTCGCCGACGTTGCTGACGAATCCAATATTGCAAATGAGGGTCGTCCGAAACGCGTTCGGCTTCACACGTAAATCTTTTGATCCATTGTGCCCACGGCTCCAATTAAACGAGGTGTTTCTCGTCGCTGCTCTGTCTCCTATTACGAACCTGCTCGGCAACACGAAGCACTCGTCGATCTCTTAGTGCTGACGCGCCTCCACGTCGCCGTAACACGCAGCATTGCCATTTGGAGAGCACCGTACAAATTGCGAAAAAAAGATTGTGCCTGCGGCGGCACAGTCCTGAATGAACGGTCGGGCAGCCCAAGAAAAAGCATCACGCGGCGACCGTGCGCCGTGCCCCGAAAACCGCGGCCATCTCACGGCCACTCACAGGATCTCCCAGAAAAAAGACACCTCTCGCACCAGAACCTGCAGTCGATGGACGGCAACCGTGCCTGCCACACGAGTTGCCACAGAGCCCGCCGCCGCCAGCTATCATTCCCAACTGGCAACGGGCAGCGCACGCTCGGGGCTCGCGAACTCGCATCGGAAGACCGCGCTGCAACGCATGGTTTCGGCACGCCGCGGCCGAGCTGGCATAAACAATCCACGAGCCGGTCAAACAAGCATGCGAAATCGGCGACGGCGGCGGCGTCACAAACCGGGCCTTCCAGAACGTGGACGGCGCCATCCAGGCGCCGCCAAGAGGACGCTCGAAACCCTCCGGCGCCATCTCAACGCCCGCGCGGCGCACGAAGCCCGACGATGTGCCACCCAGTCCGAAGCTGGCCCTCACCCGTCTGTCTTGACCCCGTCGGCCACGCGGGCTGCCCAAACCATGCCCACGCCGATGCACGCTTCCAGAAGCCGTCTGCCTTCCATCGCCCCGCTTTACGAACCTGGTCGCGGCTTCTGCGCCGCTCTAGAGTGGATGGAAAAAAATTGCGGTTCCAGCGCAGATGTTGGAGAGGGGGGGAACGGGAAGGGAATGGAACACGCGAAACACCAGCCAAGGTCTCCAAAGTCAAGTCGCTGGCTGCCGAATGCTGGACCAGCGGCGATGAGAAAAAATCGCGCGGAGGGAAAATGCCAGTAGGGCGCTGACTCAACTTCTATGCCAGCGCGCGCACAGCGCCATGGACTTTTCCAACGCCTCGAACACACCTGCAAAATCAATCACATGAGACACGCTCGACGGCATGAAGAACCCTGCCCGAGACAGGACAAGGAGGGGGCGGAGCCGAGGAGGAGGAGGAAGAGGAGAAGGAGGAGGAGGGGATGTGGCAGGGGGGCAGAAAGGCAAAGCGCGCTGGGACTGCAATACCCGCCCGACAAAGACGCAGCACGCTCAAGACACTCAAGGTCAAAAGATGGCAGCGTGGTGATCGCAGGCGGCCGGCAGAAGAGGCTCGTTGGCGACTCCCTGGCCAGGGAGCGGTCGACGAAACCGAAATGCCCTCCACCCGCCACCTCCGCGCGCACCTGCGCGAACGCCAATATCGCGCGGAGGGCAAACTCCGCACCGCGAGTGAAGAGGAGAGCCGAAAGGGAGGGAAGAAGAGGGAAGGCGTCACGGCAGAAACCGGGAAGAACCAGCGACCCGCGATTCAAACGCCACTCCCGCGGGGGGCCGCAAGCCTACGGGGAAGCAGGGGACCGCGCCCAGCTGACGACGACGACGACGACGACGACGACGACGACGACGACGACGACGACGACGACGACGACACGACCACGGCATGCGGCCCCATGGGGCCGCCATGGGACCATGGGGCCGCTCGATACATCTGAGCCGCCAGGGCTTCAAATGGGGGGGGGACTAGCTAACTTCAAGATTCACGTCGACTGGTGCGTAGTGAGTTCCGTGCCCAATTCAGCGCGTATTCTGACTACCTCGGGGCCGTCACCTCGCTCGGACCCAGACCCCTCTGGAAAGATGGCATCGGGGCAACAACGCCTGGAGCCTCTCTCGGACGCTTGCACTCTGTTCCTAGCAGACCCAAATAGATGGCCAGTCTGGACTGTCCACGCGAACTGAGCTCGGCGTTCATGAGCGCGCGCGATTCAGCACTGCGCGCTCAGCCTGGCGCCGCAACCCCCAGCCCCGCGAAGCGGCGGGGCGCCCGCACAAGCGGCGACCCTCCAACTGCGGGGCATCGATGTCCTGGCGGCGGCGAGCAGGCTCGCAACATGGCCGCTCGACGTGTCGACGGCGCCGCCACGCTCGCCCAGGGCCCACGAGCGGGCACCCTCCGCCGGGCACCGCTCTCGCAGGAGCCAGCTGCTCGACCCCGGTGCGCTGCCCAAGCTGAGCGCGGCGCGCGGCCCGCCCGGCGGCCGCCCTGGATGGCAACCCGCGGCCCATCAGATCCGGTCCTCGAGAGCGCGCCTCGCTCGCCGCTGCCGGCACCGAGGGCCCGCTGGGGATAACTGGCTTGTGGCTGCCTTGTTCATGCTCATAGCGTTC